ATTCACGTAAGCAAGTCTGCGATTTCAACGAAATTATTATCATTATTTTAATCAGTACAACTATTCATGTATGACATTATGTTTTTTTCGCGGTATTCGTGTGTTGTGATACTAACACTATGGCTCATATAAATCACCCGGTATTCAGGGAAATAATGTTTATCTGTAGGGCTATACTGATATTTGTCGCATAAGTAATACGGGCGTGGACGACAAGGCGTGGGCGTCGGGAATGAGTTCATTGGACAGTCCCGGCATGCGGAACTGTTATTAGTTCATTTCATCTATTTACTGATTTCTCGTAACACTTACGTTTAGGAAGAATACGTAATATCTTCTGTTTTCAAACTCTTTTATCAGGAAGGCATGATCCATGCAAAAAATTTGCTCGTACCTCTGTCATGCATTTGACATAATTGTCATACGTCATGAAACATTTCTCTTTCTGGGAAACAAATTTTATGGCCCGGAACAAACTTTACGACTGTCCTATGTAAACACAACTTACCATCATATACTTGCTCACGTTCGACACAACCCTTCTTAGAATTTCGCCTCTGCAGTTTCATTGACGTAAATAGTTTTAGTGCTCCTCAGACGGTGGTAACAGGACCATCAATGGATGGGTGAGAATTCAATTATGTCGTATTTCGACACGTTTGCTGTACAGCTGCCAGTTACCAGAGTGCTGGGGATCGTATCTCAGCCCAATCCCTCCCAGGATGTTGCGGTAAAATGGAGGGTACTAACACTGCGGTTGATTTATGAATCGTTATTCTGTCCATAAATGACTTTTATGTTAGCCTTAACATCGTTTATAATGGATGATTGTCTTCTATTGGCAGGTAAATTGTACTGTTTAGTAAAATACGATGAGCGCCGATTATCATTAAATGCACTCCAACGCATGAATAATGAGTATATTTATCATTCTGTCATTATCGTGCTTTATCTGTTTATCAATAATTGGTATGCTTGATTCAGATATAATTTGTTAGAATGCCTAAAATGAAAATGCCTATATCCCGTACCATTGCGTAACTAACTGTATGTTACCTGTTTATTCTTTAAATATAGTAATTATCGATAAATTTTACGTTTGCACGTGTTCATCAAGCATGTCTACGTGATGTAACGATGTATACTGTTAATGTTTGCGCAACGTACGCCATACATATTGTTCCCGACGCTTCCCAGCCAGATTAGATAGCGTTGACATCGAGGCTGTTTGTCCATGGTGGTCATGTTTGTGCAGCCTGAAGCCAAGCGCCAAGGGCTGTTGACTGACGCCAGACGGATTTAACCCCATTCGTCATACAATACTGAACCTTATCGTTCGATAACACGATCATAAATCAACACGCCATAATAATCTCGTAGCACAACCAACCCGACAATGTTTGCCATGTTTAGTCCGACAGGTAAAACTTATTATGTCCCACATGTGCAAACATTGTGCCATAATAAATTCGTTTCCAGCACTCTCGAGCTACATGTAATCTAACGGGCGTACGTTGTCTCTAGAGAAGCAATATCGTTGTGATTTATAAGCACTATTAAATCCGTTTTCACTGTAAAGATAGCAAGGAGCATGTCCAATAAATTGGAAATCCAAGTGGAACTATAAAATTTCCCATTTGCCAACTTCATGAAATCTGTATTATTGAGTGAGACGTGAGATGTGAGTAGGTGTTCGTAAAGCAGTTATTTGCTTTCTAGGTCATTGCAGTAAGACCTGCTCGCTTCGTCTCTCATAGAGCTCAATGACTGCGGACTGCGGTCTGTATTCGCTGGGCCCTGAGCCAACACGCTGAAGGAAACCAGACAGAATTCTTGAGAGTAAACGTTTACGGTTGAGTTTTATAGATTACGCTTTTTCATGGGAACAGTATTTTAGTAGTTTACTTTGCTTAGAAAATAATATATTTATTGATCCACGTGTACGATATCTGATCGATGTATTAAATCTAATAGAAGTGTAGACGCGTATTGCGTTACACTGAAATCCTCGAGTCCATTAATGTTTGCTATAAAAAAAGATAGGTACCTAATACCTATCTACCTACGTAAAGTTTTTGTTGACAATGTTATTGAAGAAGACGAGGCGTGGCGGCAGCGTGGCGTCGACGATGCGGCGCCCGGCATTCTTGGCACACCATCAATGAGAGCATGCGTCCTATCATTACAAAGAAAATGTCCCCGGCTACGTCTAAGTGAGAAAAGTTCGGTTTACAATACCAATAGTGTAATTCCGTAGTAGCTGACGTGGAGTGTACGATAACGACGCGACACTGTATGGAGCATTGAACGCGCAACACTTGCTGTTTTGTTTGCTCAAGTCGCTGATGCTCACGTTTTCGAATTAGTCGTCGTAGTTTTTTAGGGAACAGAGTGTATAGTTCCCTAAGATCGGAAAAGGAGGATCCTCCGACCAGGCGAGGTGATCGTGCCTGGCGGGCTTTCTGCCCAACAGTTGTTCGTTGGGATTTTCTATCTGTGTTTATTCGCTTGTAAACTTTGCATGTGCGATGTAGGATTCTTGTGACGTCATCCGTTGATATGTGGCATGTGTCGCCACATCACTCCCTCCCAAGACCGGAGGTCGATCCCGCTGAGACGGCTGTCGATGTTTGAGATGAGCGGTGCCAGAGCCAGTGTAGAAAGTCCCTAGTTCCAGTGAGTCGGAACTGTGCCGCTGAGTGCCCAGTGAGTCGGGTGAGTGGTGCAGGGCGATACTCCAGTGAGTCGGAGAGATGAGTTCGCAGTGTCCCACGGTGAGTCGGGGAAGAGATGCTGCGAGGGTAGGTGCGTAGTGGCCGGCATCTACGTTGACGGGAGGAGGTGTCCTTCAGACCGTGTGCAGAAGTGCTGTGCCTAGACGCTGGTGAGGCCGTAGGGAAGAACCAGGCTGCACAACTTCGTTGCAGGTAATGGTGGTCCCTGATGAGGCCGAGGATGCTGGTTGGCTGCGACTTGATTACCGCTCAGCGGAGAAATGATGAATGAGAGGGATGGCGATACGGATGACGGTGCTAATCTGCTCCGTGAAGTGAAGGTTGTTTCCAATCACGTCGGGGTCACCACTGTAGGGAACAGAGTGTATAGTTCCCTAAGATCGGAAAAGGAGGATCCTCCGACCAGGCGAGGTGATCGTGCCTGGCGGGCTTTCTGCCCAACAGTTGTTCGTTGGGATTTTCTATCTGTGTTTATTCGCTTGTAAACTTTGCATGTGCGATGTAGGATTCTTGTGACGTCATCCGTTGATATGTGGCATGCGTCGCCACAGTTTATACGAGTTGCTATGGCATAAAGAAAAGTGCACCTAGAGGTGATTTGATAAGTTATATAAATATTGATTAAAGAGAATTAATCTTTATAATAGATAGTAAAACGCTTATGTGTCCAGAAAACAAAAAAAAAACTTTCAGGTATGAGATAATCAGTATGGCCCTATTGTCAGTACAGAAGACTACAGACAAGTGATTTTATTAGGCGGTTCTTGCTCCCAACTGATTTATGAGATATGCGTCCCAAACATTCTTAATTAATTAAGTAAATGGAGTGTCTCATTCGCTAAATGTACCTATTGTACTGACACGATTGATTTATAGTTCGCCTTGTACTAAAAATGATTTATTCAGTACGTCTGGTATCATTTTATCATAGGTTAGTGCATTCAATGTGTTTTCAAGGTATGCTGTTGCGTCAATTCCATTATGACGTGAAAACTGCGCCTGAGTCGATAAAATATTCATTGCGGTGATATAAATTATGCTGTTATTTGCACTAAGCATTTGTTGAGAAGTGGTTTTTAGATAACTTCTTCTATACTTACCTATGTTTATATTTATGGGTAATATAAATACCGTGACGCATTTGCGTATACGCAGACTTGTTCTAATCAGTAGACATGAAGATTGTTTATCTAATCTGATATCTAGCTTGAAGAAAGTAACGTGAACTGAAAAACTATTAATAAGTAATAATAATTTATTGTTAGCCTTTGTAACGTATTCCCACCTCAATGGATCAATTGTCTTATTCTTAAACCTTGGATTCTTTCCAAGTGAACTTACTATATTCGATACTCACTTATAAATTTGTAGTGTTACTAGACTCTTGAAACTATACTGGCCTTACGCTTATAATGATTTACTTCGTGTTCGCTATATATTACGTGCTGCACAGCATCTGATCTATGTACAAAGCACATGAAAGGCATGAAAGGTAACTTCTGTTAATTGGAACGTGGAATTACAATGAACACGCGATGCAAGTTGAATGCCAGATGCTCGTTTAGACCAAAGGGACATGACACTAAGCCAGTACAGTTACGGAGACAGTAACTGGCTCGTTAGGTACTGGTATGAGGGTGACTGTGTGATAAGCATTTGGCTTATGTTCGTTTAGCCAGCTTACTGTATTGGTAAGTTAACTGCCCTCATGTCAACTAAGCTTTACAACTGCCGTGACTGAGGCTTATAAATCCAGTAATATACCGCTATCCGCAACGCTTGCTACCCCCACACAACGGTAACATGTTATTAATTAACATTTGCAATTATTATTATGTTAATTAAATTTACAATAGCTGCTTCGATCTGGATTTCTAATTGTGAAAATTATTTACGTTTGTGCAAGTTGACGCTTGATTTAGTAGGTACGTCGAATCGAAGAATTATTCATTTAACATACTTATTACGGTTTATCTAATTACCGTAATGGACGGTTATCGTTAATTCTAGTCCATAGCCCTGCCCGGTCAGTAGCCGTGCTATTATAATAATTAATTATTTATCAGATAACGAGTACCATCGCACTCGGATTTATAGTCACTTTATGCGCGAATGATCTCATGGGTTCTTTTTCCAATTTTCTTTAGTAATACCCAAAATGATGATTAGATAAGATACGATTTTTATAAGAGTGTAATTTACGGGTATTAACCTATTAACATTAATCTTTTACGATATTTACATAATCTTTTTTTTTTGTTTCAGGCGTGACAATGAGAGAAAAAAGGGGTGGCGCAATGAGCAAAATGCAGAAGCTTAGAAAACGCCTCTCCCTTAGCTTCGGTAGATTATGTAAGTACTTAATATGAAACGTTTCTAGTGCCACTAAAGCACATAATATGGGGCCATCCAAACGAAAACATCCCTATATCTCAAAGCTGGATATTTCGGAACCGGTTGGCAATATCCGGAGCGATTCAACTTCAGTAGGCGCTCATTCCTCATATCAAGAACCTCTATCATAAAAGTGATAGATAGAATTGAAAGACTAGCCGACCGTGAAGATTTCTTTCACATGTTCGATTGTTTGAAACGCTTATATCACTAGTAGGTACATACCCAGTTAATTTGATGCTTGGCTAACAATGACTGAATGAATTTGATAAAGCCATGGCTCATGGGTGTGTAGCATGTGCTGCGAAATCGATCCGTCTGTCTACACGACAATGAAGGAATGTGGCTTAAATGAAATTGGCTTTATACGAAACTCCTTTTGTTAACGTCAGATATTAACTGTATGGAATCGGTATGTTAGAAAAGTCATGATTAGACATAACGTAACGAGTTCCAAAGTTTCCACTGATAAAATTTGATTGGCGCCCCTCGTATTGTTATGGAAAATATGCTAATGTATTGGAAATTAGTACCTGAATGCTAAATATTGATACTTACAAGAAACTAAAACTCACGTTACTGAGTACTCGTGAGAATTCTAAATGCTTTCTAAGACTAGATCTCACAGTACAATAATCCCGGTAAGAGCTATACACGGAACAGTTAATTATACTAATTAATTCACTGGATCGGCTTGCTAATTAAAAAGCAGGAGTTGTGTTGATATTGATTGGTGTTAGTGGCGGGAACTGGTTCGTATTACCGGCGTTACACGTCTGCAGGATGTCAAGCATTCATCACACGGATTGAATCAATTAAGGTCCCGAGCAAACGAGCTACTTTTAGCTACTGCAATCGCGCGATCAACTGCCTGCGAGTTATCGCGACTATCTTGTGGATTTTAGCGACTGTGTCGATATTCGCAACGAGTTTCGGTCGCAAATGCGTATTGAAAGTCTTACGTCTTATGCCGTCAAAATACAATTAAACTGTCAAACACCAAGCGGTCACCGGTGACCGCGACCTATTGTTCTTTAATTGTGTCTATAAAACCGGTACTCGACGAGTTAAATCACCAGCCGTCAGTCGGATTTTAAGTAATTTAACTGGTAAAGCCGTAGAGGATGCAAACAGCCTACCTTGAATTATCACGGAGATTCGTCTTGTTCACGTAATTCATTATGGACGTGACTCGAGGTTTTAATTAAAATGACGCTGGTGACTCAGCTAATAATGCCATTAATTGACAAAAGTCTCATGTGGTAAGTATGCGACAAGAGTTTTGGTAAAATGTAAGTGGATAATAGTGGAATATATTTAGAAGTTGATAACCAAATGTAGCCAAAATTATTTCAACTTAAAGCTTCTAGTCTGATTTTTCTACTTTATCGGTAGAATCATGAAAAATTCACTTCTATTTCGTAAAATGCCGGCTACATATTCATCTCACACGCGTGTTATTTTTACGTTATTTTTTTACCTATTCCCGTACCTACCTACAGCATTCAGTAGAGCAACGTGTTTTCCCTAGGTATTCCCCGTAAAATCGTATCAGTGCCGGCTCAGTGGATTTACAAGCGAGCATCACTGCGTACAGATTAGCACAGATATTACCTATTTATAGAACTCGGATAAGATACGGCTGAGGGTTACATCTACATCTCGCACGCACTGCCGGTTAGTTATCTCCGAGTTCTGAACCAAGTGGGTTAAATTCACGCATCACCAAACATTTCGCCGACTTTTTATCACACTTCTGGCGACGGAGTTTTAAACTTTTTACATTCAAAAACCTTTTTCCCATCTTTATGGTTCCTTTTTTTGTGAATTCTTATGTGTGAATGTGAAGACGTTGTGAAGTTTCGCTGTAGTCAACTAAAAATACAGAAGTAAGTTCAAGCACCCAATGGAAATTGTTGGATAGTTTCAATTCTTTAAAGTTAAAGTTTAAGAAGTTGGTAATATTGCACACTGGCTTGCACTGACACCAAAAAGTGTTTACTGCAGTCGCTTAGTGCATACTAATGATAAGCTATTTATTATTGTTGATAATGATACTCGTAACGTATCTTACGTAAGTATTAAAGCAGGTGCTACATTATATGACCACTTAAAATAATAACACCCACAGTTTATCATGTTATTAAACACAAGAGAAACGATCGAAACAAGGCTAATATTAATTTCCATTTTCAAAGTAAATTAATAAGGAAATTTATTACGAAAAAACTCGCATGAAAAGCAAAATTTTGCTGAGGAAGCGAGCAAGAAATTATCTTGTTTAGTTACTGTTAAAAATATCGTTTTAACAAGCGCTAAATGAATAAGCTCCAGTGACAGTCGGCTTAGGTAAATATGAACGAGTGACGCATTAATTAGCGGGATATTTTGGGCTCGCGTTAAAAATAACGTATAATGACACTAATGCGGGCAATCACATAGAATTCGTTATGAAATGTACAGTCATGAATTTCATTCGTGATCAACCAATCGCTATGCGTAAAGTATCTCGTATAATAACGTTATTTATATCGCTGTCCATGACGTTATTAATCATGTTTTGTCACAACGAAAATATAAACAACAAACAGATTATGACAGAAATAGATAACTATTAAACTTCTTATATAAAGATTTTGACCTTTTGAATTGTACTCGTATTTCTTTTTACAACGAGAACTGTCTTCTAATAATAAATATCTGAGATCTTTCACTAGCATTTGCAAATTTTTTCTTAATGTTAATGAAGGTTTTCATCTTATCTTGCCTTTGTTCCTAAAATCGTAGTGACTACGTCACAAATGTTATCTGGTTTTTACATACCACGATAGTAAGATTGTTATCTGTTGTTTTAATTTAGGTAATTAAGGTAATCAATCACACGTCACTTACTACGCCGCGTGTGGCATAACTTGGGAGAGCAACTTTGCGAGTCAAATAGGCTCAGTAGACAAATGTGCGGAAAGAAGGGTTCCACAAAATAGATTAACAATTAATAACTAAACAATATGAAAAGTCATCGTACATTGGTACATTAGGTTTTTTTATGAACTCGATGAAGCGCATCTGTGGCCGTAGCGCTATATTTCCCATCTACCGTTTGTATTCACATATTAGCATGAACACAATAGTGATCATTTGGTACATTTCTCCACAATCGAATATTGCTCTCCCGTGGCAAGCTCACCTAGCGTGGGCGATTTTCTTAGATGCTCACATGCAATCTACGATGCAAATAAACATCTTCGATCACCCACGCCACTTAAACACGCCTTCGTGCAGTAATTCGATTCGATCGTTCGTAAGCACTTATACCAAGCACATAGCATGAAAAACACTAAAATTATACTAGACATAACGGTGTATTAAAGTACCTGTAATGCGCAAGATAACGAGTAGCAAACATGAGGTCCTGCCATTTTCATAAAGTTACGTTTTATTTGCACCAATCGTCGTCCCTAATGGCTTTGGCTCTAACCTCATCGTTTGGTTATTCTAATTTTATTGGAAATAAACGTACACCAATAAGAATGTGTAGTTTTGCACAAAATCCAACAACGTTCATGGGTAAAACATCTGTTTTTTGTCTTCGAAACTGAATATTGTTACTAAAGTAGGTGAGATAAGAAACAGTTGATTCATCCATGTTTATGTTTTTTTCATCAGTGGGAAGAATCATGTATTTAGAGCTATTAATGTGTATGTGATCATTTATCACTACCCATATAGGGCCAACTAAGTCTATGTCAGTCGTAATGAATGTTGTATTCATTTGCGCCTATGGCTCATACACAATCATTGTTTCATGACTTAACCAGGTTTACTATGGAAATGATTCATTGTTTACGCATTTTGCATACCAGAAAATATCTAATATTTCGTACAGTTCGTGAAGATATTCTCGTAGTCAGCCATGCGGACTCCTTTTACATAAAACACGTATGTACTGAAATTGTTTTGAAACTCTCAATGTGATATTTTTAGGTCTTCGTCTCTGCGTTGCGTAGTTTGGATGCACTTTGCTCTGTGTCTATTGACATTAGCATTATTTACTTTCCTTTCGTTGCACTTTGCAGTTTGGTATTCCGAAGGAGAAACAGCATTTTACTCTGCTCTATTTTCTGCTGATTCTATTCCTTTGCTCACGTTAAAAGTTTCCGTCGTAATGTCAATATTGGGACATACTTTAGTTTCAGTAAATGGAATGTAGAACGGAATTTCTAAGTATTGGCAAAAATAGCTCAGTTACTCGTGTAATTAAACAACAAATATCTTATCTCTCCAACTTGACAAAGTATTTCATCATAGTTTATCTCAGCTAACGCAGATTAACAGTTGGCAATCTTTTCCGAGCACAATCTGTTTTTGTTTCTCCCGCAAATCTTAACGTTCGCCTCTCTCTAAATATGGAGTCGTTTTCCTCAAAGAGCCATTTACCCCCAAGAGATTTAAACATCACAAGAAGTCTTTATCTAAAAAAAAGCATTAAAAGGGAGCTCGAATACCACTGTATGCCTTTGTAAAGTGGGTTTCACGTTTTAATATTTATAAATCTCTCGCATTCTTTTAAAGTATTTCACTTTATCTACTTAATTAAAAATGTTTGTAATGCTTCTAATGTTAGTCGGTTATCTCCCCGATGATGTAAACAAACTTTTTTGTGATAATATAGAACCGCAATTTAAGCTCATATATGTGCGTATAATCAATAAAGTTGTTTTTGTGTTGCTCCAATTTGCAACAGCTGTGAAAACATTGTGTTTGAAACAAACACAAATGTTTTAGTTGCTAACGTATTGATATTATCTGCATCATACAGTGTTTTGATTTTAGTAAAGTGCTATTATCTTCATTTCCTTTAATAATGTCTATCGTAGGGATTGATTCTGTTTTTTAATATCTGTTATCTACTATTACATCATTATAATGTAATGTACCTACATGTACATCAAGTATTC